GCGAGAGGGGGAGAAGGGAGATAGGTTGAGAGGGTGTGAGAATGAGATGGTGAGAGAGTGAGAGTAAGAGCGAGTGAGAGGGAGAATAAGCAAAACTAATGTTAATCAACAAATCTCAAAAATATATAACAATACGAAAAATAATAAATACATCCATAAATAGATATTAAGATGATGAAATAGATATTAAACGTATAATGGGCAAAAAATTAAAAGGAGATCTCCATGGTAATTTATATTCACACACTTGTCCTAACTCTAAAGAACTTTTCAAGGGTATACTTATGTATTTGTTTTTATCGTGTGGTCACTAGATACTACCTGGTTGATTCAGTAGGTATGTCGTCCACTGCAGATTATAACAGAATATAGTAAAATGTGATGTATGATATGATAAGTTTGAATATGGCATGATATATATGATGTGCAGTAACACGTAAAAGTAATTCTCATTTTTCTTTATCATTTGCTTTGGTATAGAACTTCATTCATTTCCTTCGAAGGGTCATTATCGTTCACACCCTTTAATCAATTCCTTCACTCTATCCATTCAATTCCTTCGCTTCATTCATTTAATCTTTTTCATTTATTTTTTTTCAATCCATCCATTCATTATATTCACTCATTTCGCTTAATTTCATTCGTAGTTTCCTTGCTGTTCTCACATTTGGTTCTATTCCTTCACTCTATCCATTCATTTCATTCACTCTATTCATTTATTTCATTCACTCTATTTATTCATTTCTTTCAGTCTATCCATTCATTATATTCATTCATCTCAATTTCATTCACTCTATCCACTAATTTCATTCTCTATCTATCATTTCTTTCAGTCTATCATCATTATATTCATTCACTCTATCCATTAATTTCATTCACTCTATTCATTCATTTCTTTCAATCAATCCGTTCATTTCAATTTTATTCACTCTATCCATTCATTTCATTCACTCTATCCATTCATTCATTCACTCTCCATTCATTCACTCTATCCATTCATTTCATTCACTCTATCCATTCATTTCATTCACTCTATCCATTCATTTCATTCACTCTATCCATTCATTTTCATTCACTCTATCCATTCATTTCATTCACTTTCCATTCATTTCATTCACTTCATTCACATTCTCTATCCAATTCATTTCATTCATTTATCCATTTCGCATTCATTTAATTTACTTATCCATTTTATTTCATTCACTCTATCTATTCATTTCTTTCAGTCTATCCATTCATTCATTCATCTCAATTTCATTCACTCTATCCATTTATTTCATTCACTCTCTCTATTCATTTCTTTCAGTCTATCCATTCATTATATTCATTCATCTCAATTTCATTCACTCTATTCATTTCTTTCACTCTATCCATTCATTTCAATTTCATTCACTCTATCCACTCATTCACTCTATTTCACATTCACTCTATCCATTCATTTCATTCACTCTATCCATTCACTTCTTCACTTCTATCATTCACTTCCTTCACTCTAATCCATTAATTTCATTCACTCTATCCATTCATTTCATTCACTCTATCCATTCGCTTCCTTCACTCTATCCATTCACTTCCTTCACTCTATCCATTCATTGTATTCATTCATCTCAATTCATTCACTCTATATATTTACTTCAATCTATCCATTCATCTCAATTTCATTTACTCTATTTATTTATTTATCTATCCATTCATCTCATTTTCATTCCCTCTATCTACTCGCTTCCTTCACCTCTTCCACTCCCCCGTTCGCAGGTTCCTCACCGTGGGCTTCATCCTGCTAGGATACGAGTGGCTGTACCAGTGGCGGATCCTGGACTGGGCTTGGGACTCGCTCGTCACCTGGTGGGCATCGCTCCTACTGGTTGACATGTGCTACTACTGGGTCCATCGCGCTAACCATGGTAATTGATGGTCGTTGGGGTGGTTGGGTGGTCGTCTCTTGGTTCTTGGGTTGTTCATCGCGCTAAAATATGGTAATTGATGGTCGTTGGGTGGTTGGATTGGTCGTCTCTTGGTTCTTGGGTCTTGTTCATCGCGCTAACCATGGTAATTGATGGTCGTTGGGTGTTGGTGGTCGTCTCTTGGGTCTTGGGTTGTTTCATGGCGCTAACCATGGTAATTGATGGTCGTTGGGTGGTTGGGGTGGTCGTCTCTTGGTCTTGGTTCTTTGTCCATCGCGCTAACCATGGTAATTGATGGTCGTTGGGTGGTCGTCTCTTGGTTCTTGGGTCTTTGTTCATCGCGCTAACCATGGTAATTGATGGTCGTTGGGTGGTTGGGTGGTCGTCTCTTGGTTCTTGGGTTGTTCATCGCGCTAACCATGGTAATTGATGGTCGTTGGGTGGTTGGGTGGTCGTCTCTTGGTTCTTGGGTCTTTGTTCATCGCGCTAACCATGGTAATTGATGGTCGTTGGGTGGTCGTTCTCTTGGTTCTTGGGTCCTTTGTTCATCGCGCTAAATATGGTAATTGATGGTCGTTGGTGGTTGGGTGGTCGTCTCTTGGTTCTTGGGTCTTTGTTCTGCGCGCTATGGTAATTGATGGTCGTTGGGTGTTGGGTGGTCGTCTCTTGGTTCTTTGGGTTGTTCATCGCGCTAACCATGGTAATTGATGGGTCGTTGGGTGGTTGGGTGGTGTCTCTTGGTTCTTGGTCTTTGTCATCGCGCTAACATGGTAATTGATGGTCGTTGGGTGGTTGGGTGGTCGTCTTGGTCTTGGGTTGTTCATCGCGCTAACCATGGTAATTGATGGTCGTTGGGTGGTTGGTGGTCGTCTCTTGGTCTTGGGTCTTTGTTCATCGCGCTAACCATGGTAATTGATGGTCGTTGGTGGTTGGTGGTCGTCTCTTGGGTCTTTGTTCATCGCGCTAACCATGGTAATTGATGGTCGTTGGGTGGTCGTCTCTTGGTTCTTGGGTCTTTGTTCATCGCGCTAACCATGGTAATTGATGGTCGTTGGGTGGTTGGGTGGTCGTCTCTTGGTCTTGGGTCTTGTTCATCGCGCTAACCATGGTAATTGATGGTCGTTGGGTGGTTGGGTGGTCGTCTCTTGGTTCTTGGGTCTTTGTTCATCGCGCTAACCATGGTAATTGATGGTCGTTGGGTGGTTGGGTGGTCGTCTCTTGGTTCTTGGTTCATCGCGCTAACCATGGTAATTGATGGTCGTTGGGGGTTGGTGGTCGTCTCTTGGTTCTTGGGTCTTTGTTCATCGCGCTAACCATGGTAATTGATGGTCGTTGGGTGGTCGTCTCTTTGGTTCTTGGTTGTTCATCGCGCTAACCATGGTAATTGATGGTCGTCGTCTCTTGGTTCTTGGGTCTTTGTTCATCGCGCTAACCATGGTAATTGATGGTCGTGGGTGGTTGGGTGGTCGTCTCTTGGTTCTTGGGTTTTCATCGCGCTAACCATGGTAATTGATGGTCGTTGGGTGGTTGGGTGGTCGTCTCTTGTTCTTGGTCTTTGTTCATCGCGCTAACCATGGTAATTGATGGTCGTTGGGTGGTTGGGTGGTCGTCTCTTGGTTCTTGGGTCTTTGTTCATCGCGCTAACATGGTAATTGATGGTCGTTGGTGGTTGGGTGGTCGTCTCTTGGTCTTGGGTCTTTGTTCATCGCGCTAACCATGGTAATTGATGGTCGTTGGGTGGTTGGGTGGTCGTCTCTTGGTTCTTGGGTTTGTTCATCGCGCTAACCATGGTAATTGATGGTCGTTGGGTGGTTGGGTGGTCGTCTCTTGGTTCTTGGTCTTTGTTCATCGCGCTAACCATGGTAATTGATGGTCGTTGGGTGGTCGTCTCTTGGTTCTTGGTTTGTTCATCGCGCTAACCATGGTAATTGATGGTCGTTGGGTGGTTTGGTGGTCGTCTCTTGGTTCTTGGGTTGTTTCATCGCGCTAACCATGGTAATTGATGGTCGTTGGGTGGTTGGGTGGTCGTCTCTTGGTTCTTGGGTCTTTGTTCATCGCGCTAACCATGGTAATTGATGGTCGTTGGGTGGTTGGTGTCGTCTCTTGGTTCTTGGGTTGTTCATCGCGCTAACCATGGTAATTGATGGTCGTTGGGTGGTTGGGTGGTCGTCTCTTGGTTCTTGGGTCTTTGTTCATCGCGCTAACCATGGTAATTGATGGTCGTTGGGTGGTTGGGTGGTCGTCTCTTGGTCTTGGGTTTTGTTCATCGCGCTAACCATGGTAATTGATGGTCGTTGGGTGGTTGGGTGGTCGTCTCTTGGTTCTTGGGTTCATCGCGCTAACCATGGTAATTGATGGTCGTTGGGGTGGTTGGGTGTCTCTTGGTTCTTGGTTTGTTCATCGCGCTAACCATGGTAATTGATGGTCGTTGGGTGGTTGGGTGGTCGTCTCTTGGTTCTTGGGTCTTTGTTCATCGCGCTAACCATGGTAATTGATGGTCGTTGGGTGGTTGGGTGGTCGTCTCTTGGTTCTTGGGTCTTTGTTCATCGCGCTAACCATGGTAATTGATGGTCGTTGGGTGTTGTGGTCGTCTCTTGGTTCTTGGTCTTTGTTCATCGCGCGCTAACCATGGTAATTGATGGTCGTTGGGTGGTTGGGTGGTCGTCTCTTGGTTCTTGGGTTGTTCATCGCGCTAACCATGGTAATTGATGGTCGTTGGGTGGTTGGGTGGTCGTCTCTTGGTTCTTGGGTTGTTCATCGCGCTAACATGGTAATTGATGGTCGTTGGGTGGTTGGGTGGTCGTCTTGGTTCTTGGGTTGTTCATCGCGCTAACCATGGTAATTGATGGTCGTTGGGTGGTTGGGTGTCGTCTCTTGGTTCTTGGGTCTTTGTCATCGCGCTAACATGGTAATTGATGGTCGTTGGGGGGTTGGTTGGTCGTAATCTTGGTTCTTGGGTCTTTGTTCATCGCGCTAACCATGGTAATTGATGGTCGTTGGGTGGTTGGGTGGGTCGTCTCTTGGTTCTTGTTCATCGCGCTAACCATGGTAATTGATTGGTCCGTATGGGTGGTTGGTGGTCGTCTCGTTGGTTCT